TTTGGCGGGGTACTGGTTACGACGTATATATATAGTTACAATAAAATTTGTGAATAATGTTGCATTTATACACGTATGTAATTGTTTGTAAAATAAATATGAATTCAGTATAACGTTAAGAACAAATAAATTGGTTGTCTCTATTACGTTTATATTTATCATATATAAGTATGTAAAGCAAGTGGCTTCATATTGTTCAAGATCAAAAAAAAAAAAAAAACACAGGGGTAATATAAACAAATACATGAATTGTTTACTATTTTATTGTCAAATAAGCGTAAGTCCAATACTTAGTTCACTTTGCTGAATACACTTTGATTACRCATAGATGTCAGTAGTAAACTGAGGCTTCGCATTTCTTCATCCTTTTGTTTTTCCACTTCGAACTTTTCTTTTTCAAATTGCATCAACTCTTTTAAAATTTCTTTGTCTAAAGCAGCTTTTTACGCTTGTAATTCCATTTTTTGCTAGATTCACTAAACATAAACCATTTAAATATAAATTAATAAACCCATAATAGCAATGCTTACCAATCTGAGTCCGCCATCGTTGCGTTCAAACTTTGAAAAGCATAAAGTTTCTTAGTGATTCTTTTTCCAAAAAACTTAGATTTCTTTAGATCTGATTTTCATTTTGGCAATGTGCTATCTAATTCACGAAAATCGTTAGTATAACCGGTTCCACTCAATATATCATATAGCGTTAAATCTAAAGTCTCCTGAGGAACGGTCACATCGCTGCGAGTGCCGTAAACATCGTTCATTTCTTCATAAATCTAACAATGGCAGCTTCCCCTGATGTATTGTTTCTCTTCTTAATTCGTTTACATACATAATTTTCCTGGTTATATCATCACGGATGAATGGAAATTTGGTGTCAGCTTCTCTAATATTATTTAATATTCTTTCCCACAGCACCGACCTTTGTTTGCGTTTGGCAGCGAAGTCGCCCTCATAACGCARTCGGGTGGTCAGAAGCAGCTTTTTACACCAGTAATTCCATTTTTTGCTAGATTAACTAAACATAAACCATTTAAATATAAATTAATAAACCAATAATAGCAATGCTTACCAATCTGAGTCCGCAATCGTTGCGTTCAAAGTTTGAAAAGCATAAAGTTTCTTAGTGATACATGATTTTCTGTATCACTGCGCATCGACTACCGAGTTAATGAGTTTCAAAATATGATGTAATGTAATAAACACTGCGGATGCTTTATCGAACTTCGAACTTTGTTCATATGTAAAGCAATTGACGTTTTCGAAGTCAGCCTATGTATATGCGATAAGCGATAAGAGCGTCGATAAGAGCGAAGCGTAGAAAATTGATACATGTAATTTAATACAAGTGTGCATGTCGGAGCAGCGCGCGAACTCACTCTTTGCTGGCTATCATCGATAAGAGCGTAGAAATTGTAGGTCAGTAAT